CCCCGTTGCCATGCCTAGTTGGGTTGATCCGTCAATATAAAAAAAAATATTTTTATTTTATTCAACTTAAATTTTCTTTAAATATGATCAAATATTAAAAAAAGAAAAAAAAATGTTATCAAAGAAGTAATGAATCAAATGTTCAATGGAGCATGTCTTTAGTAAGTCCATCAACAATAATAAATTAGTCTGTCAATGATAAAATAGTTCCACAATACAACCACAAATAAAGGTCCATCAACAACAATAGAATATGTATACAATACATTCACAAATAAGTTTTAATAAGCAAATGAACCATAAATAATAAATCATAAGTCAATGTCAATAGGTAAAAGTCAAAGAAAAGTATAACTCAATTCAATGGGTCAATCTGATGGGCTAACACAATCCAGCCCATTATTTAACCAATTGGGTTGGTGGGTTATGCGGGTTGGGTTATGTGAATTGGAGGGTTGAAAAATACAACTCAACCCTATCTATTTGGGCGGGTTTCTGGGTCAACCCATTGGGTTGAACTCATTTTGACACTATTTTTCCCCACTCTTTTGTTGTCAGGTTCTTTTGGTTTTGTTTTTCAATGAGAATTGAAATCTCACATTGGTAACTCACGTTAACCTTTAATTAAGGGATGGAAATAAGTCAAGTCTTAAATAGGGGCATGTGACCTGATTTCTTTAAAGTCTAATCTAGTCTATTTAATAAAAATGTCAAATTTAAGCTTTTTAAAAAGTCTATTTTATTTATATAAAAAGGTTAAACTTGGATTATAGAAAGACCTGTTAGGCCTGATAGGTCAACGTATTTATTTATGAATATAATAATATATATTATTAAAAATATAAATAAATAAATAAATTTATAAAATAAAAATAAATTATTAATATTTAAAATATTTTTTTATACAATTAATTTTTTTTAATTATAAGTTTATAAGTTTACGACCTATGTATGAATGTATATCAACATAGGTCGTAAACTTATAAGAGCTCCTATAATCATCCTATAATTGCCGAAAGTGTATATCAAAATCATCCTATATTTGTCCTTTTATTTTTTATATGAGAAGCAAAACCATCCTATAATTGCCGAAAGTGTCCCTGGTTGAGTGAAACTACATAAGGAGCTCTTATGGGGAGTATGTGTGCATAGAGTGGCCGTTTGTATAAAAATGAAAGTCCAGAGACGCCATAAAAACATTTCCATCCCAAAGCAAATCTAGAGAGCAGAACATTTTTTTTGGAAGCTGTTCTCTCAATTAATGACAAAGTGATGGCAAACCTTATTACTGGGAAAACCCCAGCAATACACAATCAGCACACTTTGGCAGAATTCACTCCCCTTACCCGTGAACTTTCACAGCAACTGAGAAAAGAACTCTTAAATTTTGAGGGTTTAACTAAGATATATAAAATAAAACCTCCCATATATGACTGGCATGTTGCTAGGAAAACCCCCTCATACACAATCGGCACACTAGGGCAAAACTGAAATGCTTAATTAACATATAATTGTGTAAAAATGATAATAGGGTAAACTGTTTCTGTATTAAGTTATAACAAAAATGTTAACCTATTCTTTATAGTATGATATTTCATTTGTTTACTAGGAAGAAACATTTTTTAGTTTGTTGACCCCATGCTATTGAATATATAAATTTAGCATCAAAATTGATTTGTTGATTGTGGAAAGATTTTTTACACCATGTCTTGTCAACTGAAAGCCTGGTGTTTACCGTATTTAGAGTTTGATTATTCTTTAATATTAATTTTTTTTCCCTGTTTTCTTAACATAGGTCTTCAGCCACCTTTTCTGCCTCCAGCTTGATGAGGACGTCAATGAGGTTCATTTTGCCCTCAAATCGGAGTCCTGTATTGAGGATAACTGTTTCTCTGAAGCTTCTCTTAAACTCGATAAATTGTTAAAGTTTAAACATCCGGAGATAGGTCAAAACATTATCAATGCGACTAAAAAAATCAGACGTTTGAAGTGAAACTAGCTCTCCTTCCTAGCTATCGTTACGAGCATGACACTCTTCATCTGTTTGAATGCTTGCTTTCTCAAACGCAGAAGTGATTTCAGCCAATATTTGTCATTGATCTGCGGATTGGATTGTCTAGTACCAATCAATCAGTACTGGTTGAGTGATGTATAAAACTTGTGATAATATTGTAGTGCTTTCACACTTTATTTCGTATGGGTGTTTCAATTTTTGAGGGTTTATGATAACATTCCCTGGAATAACGTGCTGTGTCAATAGTGTTCTCTAGGAAATGTTTATCGTTAGATTTGTTTGGCGCTAGCCTTTAAAAAGTTTTCCTGGAAATACTTTTTAGAATTCTTGGAAGGGTAATGCTATTTCTTTCTATACCTTACTGATCCTTTTAATATTTTATAAAGTATTAAATAAAATAGTGAATGCATTTAATACATTGGAAATATGAGATGCATTTAAATTTTTTATTTAGTAAATAAGAGGATTGTAGGAAGATCTTGTAGGAACTAGGAAGGTCCCTTGTGTATGCCAGAAATTATAATTTTTTGCAACTGCAGGAGATGAATGTTTAGGTCATTTATTTGGTTTTTATGGTAAATTGTTTTCTGACAACAATCGAAAAGCATCTATACTTTTTTTTTCCCTAAAATTCCTTTTGGACTTAATAGTTTAAATAGTGTAGTCCTAGCCGTAAATGATAGATATTAGGCGCTGCACACTGACCCGTGCAGTAGTTTAGCTAAAGCGTTTTAATATCCACCTGGAGTGTACGTTCACAGGAATGATACTCAAAAGAACTGACTCCTCTTTTATGACATTGATAAAGAAATTTATCCAGGAAAGCTACAGCATAAAAGACTTCCTTTATTTCTAGCTTTTCCGTCAAGTTGAAGATGGCTTAAATCATTAAATGTATCCACTAGCATGAGTGATAAGTGTCCTATTAATAGATTATTAAAACTAATTAACAATTAATACATTTTAAAGTTTATGTTTCTCATAATTAAGATAAAAAAGAACATATATTTATTTCTTATATAAAATGACCGGATGAAATATTTGGTTAAAAGTTAAATTGACTTTTTTGTTCTTATAATTTTATGAACTTTATCTTTTAAATCTTATAATTAAAAATATTTTATTTTAGCCTCATAATTGTATAAAACTTACTTTAAATTTATAAAAATACAACATAGACTAAAAGAGAATAAGATATAAGATTTATGAAACTATATAAACTATTTATTGAGGTTAATTACCCTTTGAATTTATATAGTATCGTAAACCTTGGCTTTTAATCTTTACTATTTTTATTCTCTTTTACTCCATGTATTTTTATAAAAATTAAAAAAAATAAAGTTTATAATATATTACTATTCATCTTCAGAAATTAGAAAGTTGATTATGGGTTCACTATTTATAGAAAATTAATGGGTTGACTATTTATTGAATGGAATGACTATTTATTAACCTCAATGAACGTTTTTAATTAGAGACTAAAAGGCAAGGTTTATTAAATTATATTTTTAAATAAAGCTTTGCATGCGTGAACCTGAAATGCAAAATGTTCAATGATTATTTTTTTATTCGAAATTATTCATTTTCTTTGTTGCTCGGGAATCCTTCCCTGATTGGGTAAGCTTCGTCAACACTCAACACTAGTTCACAACAGATAATCAGATCGAACAATAAGAGCCCGTGGTATTGCATGCACAAAGGAGAACCATTGATCAGCAGATATTATTTATCTGCTGTCAAGACAGGTATTATGTACTAAATAATGACACTTATCGAAGTATCATATATATATACATACATACACAATCGAGTGAACACAATCGAGTGAACACAATCAGGAGCCATTTCTGTTGGTTGATTTATGTTCATAAGTTTCACACAGAACCTCGTTTTAGAAGCTACTTACAGCATCTTGAATGAAACCAGCACTCAACGGCGATGTGCATCTTGCTTCCACAGACAACGTTTTCACAACACCCGGACAGGGGTCACCTCCGAATACAGTTTCTGAGATTTTGATGGAGCAGTTCCTTTTCCCTTTGCAAGCCTGCAAAATGTAAATAAGTAAATCAAGAAAGTCTACAACCTAAATCAGGAAAGATCACTTAGAAAAGCCATATTAATCTTGGCACTAGAAAAGATAGGCTTTTGTCAACCATGCCACTAATGTTTCGCATGATACAGAATTGTATTACTATGGAGTGGCTCCTTTTTAACCTATTAATCATTCCATTCTCCTCAATAAATAGTCAACCCATAATCAACTTTCTAATTTCTGAAGATGAATTGTAAAGGAGATTTCTAATCATTGTAATCATAAAACTGAATTACTAGTAAGTTCTTTGTTTCCAGTTTCATGTATTGGGTTATTCTTATTAGGCAATTTTTTATTTTCCTTTTCATCTTTTGGGGAACCACAGAATATTTTTCATCAAAACATTACAGCCCCCTTTTTTTTTCCATGCTACAAATCAACGTTAGCCAAGCAGCTTACACGTATCATATTTATTAACATGCAAGTTCTCATCAATTTTCTAGTGCCTACAAAAAGTGATAACGATAACAATAAATTTTTAATCGTAATACTTGAACAAAGTATAGGGTTAAGCATTTCGGAAAATATTATGCATCATCACTTCTATCCAAGTCCAGAACGCCAAAATCTCGTGGAGCTTTTACTTTCTGGCAGACTACTGTCTGTTATGTCCATTTTTTTTCCCCAAAGGTACTAGGCAAGAGTGAAAAAAGCTACCCGATAAAGAATTTACCTGGGAAACTATGGACATTGAACTAGGGGCGTGGCAGTCTCCTCTGGAAAAATTTTGACAACTACCTCCTGGAGTACCAAAGCTAGCAAATGTTACGGAGGAAATTGTATGTCCTTCTTGACAATGTAAGTGCATTTCAGGTATCATGTTGTTTGCAGAAACTTCTTCACCAATGAGATCTGCATTCACCCACTTTTGTAAAGGTGGATAGTTGGATTCTGACACCCGAGCACATATTATACTGGACGAATGTAACTTGACAGAAATTCCCAGGGGATTTCCTCCGGTTTCCTCCAAGATAACAAGTAAATTGTTGGATGCTCTCAACCATGATCGTGGTACATGGTACCTGGAGATTGACAAATAGCCCAGAAGTTAAGGAAAGTGCGATGATATTTATTTCCAGTATGATTGTGTATCCTCCTTACAAATCTTTCTAATAATCCTTCCAATACTTAATAAAGTATTAAATTAAAAAATATGATGTATTTAATATAAGAGTTAATCATCTATACACTGCCAGTATAAAGTTTAAGTGTAAAGTTTTTTTACACTGACAATCAATCATATCTTTTAACAGTGACATGTCAGTTGCTTATTTAATGAAATAATAATAAAATAAGTAACTTTAAAAGATATGATTGGTTTCCGGTATAAAAAACTTTACACTGGCAGTGTAGGGATGATTAACTCTTAAATCTTAATATAATAGGAACATAAAAAATGTTCAATATTTTCCTCATTTAGTAATCAGTAGGATTATTAGGAGGACCGGTTAGGAGAATATAAAGTTATTCTGGTACAATATTGTAGATAAAGGTGTAAGTCATCAGGAGATGAATGATGCTTTGAGTGGCTTTCCATAATTCGTGGATAAAGTCTTTTGGAATGGGATGAAATAATGAAATGAGAATACATACAAGGTTTGGGTTGGTTTTCCACAATTTGTTGAACATTTGTCAGAATTATATGCTCCACGATAATCACAGACTTTTTCACATCCACTTTTTGGGGAAACCCGAGTCCAGTATCTTCCTATATGGTGACCATTCACCCAAGCCTGACCTTTCCCCATGCTTTTCAAGTCAAGAGCAACTGGATCTGTGCCACCGGGGACATCAAAGTATGTCTGCTTCAAATAAATAGGTGGTTATTATTACATTGTTGTGTTGTGATAAAAAAAGAAAATCACATTGGGAAAGAATGACCAGTGGGCTTAATAACACCATACAATCTCAGCAGTGATATCATGATGTTATATTCACTCACTCTGTAGTTGTTCGTTGTGCATAATAATTACAATAAATAAATAATTGGACAATTTCAGAGGCAACATAAGCAGACATCTATAGAATTGAGCAAATGAGTAAGAATAACCTCATACATTATTACATTTGTTCTTTTCACATAATGCAAAATGCAGGAGGGTCATGAATCTTCCTAAAACAGATCACAAAATATTAAAAGAAGGAACTACACCAGGTCATAACAGAGTAAACAATTCTCTGAACATAAGACATGGAAACCCTATCAGAAAGACCATGAGCCCCAGGTAGGCTAAGAAAACAACTCTATCCACAAAATGAAGACAATATCTATGAATAACATTCTGGAGTTGAATCCAGCTAAATAGACCATGCTTGAGCTAGAAGCAATTCATAGTGCCCCATTCTTTCCGCTCCTGGATCCTCTAAACTGGACAGGGAAAAACAAGTTCAAAATTAGTTTGAAAGACCTGATATTGTTTTGTTTAGAATGCCAGGGTTAGAATTCTTATAGTATCAGTAGGCTCAAGCTTGTACTAGTAGGATCTTACTCTACGTCTGCTAAATTTCTTAAGAAAAAATTCATAACAAACATCCTCTGAAGAAGCTTTCATAACCTGCTACTCATCAAATAGCCTCTCCTCACTAACTAGCCTATCCAAACATTTAACTCCATGCAAAAGTTTACTTAAACTGTCCTGAGCATATCAAAGATTTTCTCCCAAATCCTCTGCTTTCCTTAGAGAACTTCAGCATTTGCATAAATTTATAGCCATCTTGTTCATTGACCCTACACTCTTACTATCACTCATGAATTTGTTTACTATAGGAATATTTTTGAAGCTTAAACATACATGGTGCATGTTTCTTGGTCCTGTGTTAATTTCGCGGAAAAGTAAAAAGCAGTCTCATGTTATGTCTATGGCTTGTTCTGAAATTATTTGGATTTGTTGGCTTCTGGCTAAGCTTGAATTCTCTCAAACAGCTGCAACATGTTTCTATTTCGAGAATATTGGTGCAATTCAAATTGCTGCTAATCTAGTTTTTCATGAGTGTACAAAGCATACTGAGTTGGATTGTCATTCTATTAGACTAATCTTAGGTATTGGAGAATCAAGTTATCTCTCATCCTCATGTCACCGTGCAACTTCAGCTTATGGATATCTTTATGAAGGTTGTTCCTCGTCCACACTATCAGTTTCTTATCAGCAATTGATGTTTCTTGACCAGCCACGTTAATTTGAGTGGGGATGTCAATAAGGGACCTAGTTGTTATTATTATTTCCTAACTATATGTTGTATATATTAGGAATTGGAATTAGGTCATTCATTTTATATTATTATATTTCCTAATTTTAGGTTGTACAAATTGGAAATCGGAGTTTTTGTACACTTTAATTAGGCTGTAAACAAGAATAATGCATGGCCATTTTACCTTGTGCTCTGTTGAAATGATAGGGTTTTGTTAGAGAAATATGATGAGGGGAAAAAAATGCTTTAAATAATATTATCATGTATTTTGACATGAAACAAATACTAATACTTGACTCCGAATTCTAATTAACTAACAAAACGAATAACTTAATAAACACAAGATAAAATCTCTAAGATTAAAGTAAGATTCCTAACAAGTTAAGACCCCTAAAAGTTAGTTAGCACAATTATCAGTATAACATAAATTATCCTAATCATTATGCATTGGTCTAGTTTTATAAATATTTTGCATATATTCTGACATGCTTAAATTAAGCTTTATCTTGAAAAAACAAGGGCAACTAGTATCGAAATTCTAGCTTGGTCATGGAGGTGATAATACCATGTCAAGAACCAATTTTCTAAGAAGCTTAAGCTCTAATGGAGGTTCATGAGTTTTTTATTTGATAGGCAAATCCGCAAATGTTAGTAATTAATGTGTTACATTAGCTGGGGAAGTTCATGAGTTATTTTATATTTATAACAAAATCAATGTAAAAAAATTATAAGCTGTTTTCCTTTTCTCTTTTCTTTCACTTCACAACAGTTCTCATAGATATAACTCTTCAACAGCTCAAAGTTACCTTGTACCATGTAAATGTGGAAGGGATGGCATCAGGGGTCAGTTCTACCCAGTCTGAATTTTCATTCTCTTCACTGTAAAATTTTAAAAACTCACCCTGAAGCCCAACCTGGGATAAAAATGAATAAAGTGGAGTTAGCATTTTCAAATTCCTGGGGCTATAAAAAGAACAATCCCACAAGTGTAGAATAGGATGGCATTAAGATGAAAATTATAGAACAAGGAAATGAACTTAGAATAAAGATAATTAAACTGAGACACCACTAAAGCAGTAATTTATGTTTCTTAAGAGTGAAGGCACAACTAGAATGCCCAACCCATGTTGAACAAAGAATCAAAACCAAGATTTTGTTTTTTCTTTCAAATTTATTTCCTTAAATTACCATGTCAAGGTTCTAACCCTTAAAGACATAAAAAACCTGAAATATGCAACTTAAAAACCCTATTCCTACAAGGGCACGTAACCCAAAATTAAGATTCAAAAGCCAATTTTATACTGGAAAATAGAATATTGATCTAACTTGTACTAAGATAAGATATCGTTGGAAACAGGAATAAGAGCTTTTTTAATTTTCATTTTACCAAGTAGCCCAGATACTTGGTATAGCTAGGTTCAGTGCATCTTAGGAAGTAGTAGTATCTTAATTGTTCTCCTGTAAATTGTTTTGACATTAATTATCTTTGCAATACTCTTGAATTAGAAGGTCTGATTGGGTTCTTGAAGCTATCAGACATAAAAAAAATTCTCAATGTGAGAGAATGAGAGAGAGAAAACCTATTGAATGGAAATACACAAATGTTTGACTTATGTACTTAGGATATCTATACCAAGTTACAAACTACACATGTTTATTTACAGAGACAGTACAGCTGTAGTATACCTAAATAGCTTATACACCTTGTACTCATGCTATGTATGGACTAACCGATAGCAAATGTTTGCTAGCTGGTCATTTGAATTCAGAAAAACCAATTGTAATATGTAAAGATTCCAGAAGGTACCATGTAGAAAACGAGATAAAGAGAAAAGACATGAATTGGGCTTGTGTATTATTTACTCTATTTGTCCTAACTGTAAAATCTTAGAGAGTACAGCCGCAGTGCACTACATCTGTATTTTCCTCTAAAAACCAGCTAGTAACTCGTATAGTTCTTTTGGATCAGTTTACGGTTTAATCTTTACATGCATACCTGATAGGTCCATAATGATTTTGAAAGATTTATATCTCCATTTTCAAATCCAGTGATCTTTATTGTACCTCTAATCCCTGCTCCATCCTTCTCGAGAAATGCGCCATAATTCTGTAACATTGTTTTGAATAATGTGAGAATATATGTATAGTCAGTAATCTTGGTCCCTCAGTTGTTTGATAGGAGAGTAAGTTGAAAGAAGTTGAAGAAAATAGATTTAAAAAAAAAAAAAGTCACAAAGCCTGCAGATGGAAAGGAATATGCTGTTCATAGTAATGTGATCACATTGGATAATTCTTTGGCATCAATTCACTAAAGGACAAGAGTATAACAAATAAATAAAGATTATTTAACTATACAGGTATCAGTTAACAACTGCAATAAATTAATGAATCGACTAATGAATGTGATTAATATTTTCTACTACTACTTGATAGAATCTAAGCATGCGTTATAAAATAGAGGAAAATATAGGAAATTGAAAGTAACTAAGAAGGTGAAAAAAGTAAAAAAACCAGAGTTTCTTAGAATCTATTAGTTGATATTATGATGAATTGGGTGTTGAGTTCTCATTTATATAGAGTCTGGTACAGTTGGAGATTTCAGTTATAACAGCTAGCTAACTCTAACAGACTTTGAGCAAACAACTAACAGTTTCAGAAGAAGCTAGCGGTTTCTCTAACTAGGGATGGCAATGGATAGGTGGTGGTGGGGTATTACTATAGTACCTATCTCCAATTCATACCTGTATTTAAAGAAAAAAACCTTTCTACCCAAACCAATGTGGGTAACAACTTTGATGCCCATCCCTACCCAAACCAATGTGGGTTACAACTTTGATGCCCATTCCTGTACCCTATGCATACCTAGATACCCATACACATTACCCACACTCTAGTAACAAAAAGTGTTACATCATATCCTGATTATAAAACAAAACATAAATATTTAACTAAATATAAATCCAACATAATAAATTAATCACAAAGCATAATGTTTTGTAACAGGAAGATTGTAGTTTAAATAAATTCAAGTCCAACATAACAAATTTATGAAAAAACTAATTTATAAATGTGAAAGTCTAGTACTTGCACTCTCCAAAATATTTTATGAAATCATATTTTAATACTGATATATATAGGGATATGTGACGATGACACAACAGTTTTTTATTTTTATTTTTTATTATATAGTGATTTTGGATAATATTTGTTATATATAGTGATTTAATAAAATTAATTTTTCATAACATGTGAGTATGAGGAGTAAGGTAGTAAGGTCCCCAAACTTGCACTCATCCCTATAAATTTTTGCATGTAAATACCCATATTTGAACCCAAAGTCATTTGGTGGGTAATTTCCCCTCCCATCATGGGTATTTTTAAATTTTGCAGTTAAAAATGATGGTGAATTTCTATATATTTGATGCTCTCATAAAAGATTGTGTTGGAGGCAATAATTTTTTAGTAATCATGTTATTGGTGCAAAACATCCATTTGTTTTACTGATGACTAATCTATACCGGGAAACCTAATTAACTACCTTTAGTGAAGCCTCCCCTCTCAATCACGATTTTTTCATCTACAAGACTCAAATTTGAGACCTCACTTTAGTACTACTCAAACCAACAACTTGTCGGCGGGTTAGAGGCAATATGTAAAGCAGCTTGGCTGCCACAAATTAATTTTATTTCCTTGGCATCTCCCCATTTTATCTGCTAGAATTAATTACTGCTTTACCTATATGATTTCACAAGTTGTTGCCTTAGCATGATACTCTACTATGCTAGATCTTGTTGCTGCCTTACCATAACAGTGTATGAATTATGAAATTTTACACAATCTCCAAATGCCTAAACAACACAGTACACACACAAAATAGTGACTTTAAATAATTGAAGGTTTTGGCATTATACATAAGGATACATGTTAAAAATATACTAGGAATTTCACCTGTAAACCCACTGTTTGAGTTAACAGTGTTAAATCATTGTATCCCGGGAGAAATTGAAGAGTCTGGACCACCTTGATCCAATCACCAACAAAATTACCTTCACTTGGAAATAAATTAAACTATATGAATATATAGACAAAAGGAATAAATATTAAACCTCTAAGGCACAATAATTATGATATAACTGATGCTTTGATTCAGAAAAAAGGCACTCATTGTTAGAGTATAAGTTGTAATAGCAGATTACATGAGTAATAGCTACTAGTTAGTTGTTAGTCTCTGTCATGCTGAGCAGGAAGATGCAGAGAATGAATCTTATGATGTATTAGAGTAAAACTAATATGATGAATCTGAAAATTTTATTAGAATGAAAATCTGAATAAAACAGATACAAAGAATGCTTTGATCCAAAACTTGAGTTGTGACCTACACATTGGCTAAGCTCAATCCAAGGGTTTGATCCTTGCCAAACTCGTTCTTCTAATGAATAGTTGAATTTCAAAACAAGATTGACAAGCTTCTTTATTATCCACACTTTGGGCATGCATGAGGGGGCATGTAAGAGATATAGTATTGAACCGTTTGTGTCTTCACCTAACAAATTGAGTTTTTGGGATCAGCGGCTCATGACATAACTAACCTAACCAAGGTATCCCCATACATTTAACACATGGTGACATTTATAACAAAAGGCAGAGATTCAAAAGAATAGTCTCAATCAGGAGAAAAACAATAACAAAAGTCGAAGTATACTAAATAAACACAAAATTAACCAAGTTTTCACATAATATAATTCATCCAGATTGTTAGACAAACACTACCATATATCACAAGTGCTATTTTCTTAACCATCACTGAACTTCAAGCGGATAATACAACATGTTAAAGAGTCTTGCTAGGGCAACTACATAAAGTGCATTATTTAGAATAGAACTTCCATTAATTTAAGAACAAAAAAACAGAAATCTGCTCATCTTCAAATACAGCATACATATAATACAATAAGGTCAATTACCTATAAGCTGGCCATTGACAAATACACGCAATATGTCACGGACACCATCTATAGTAAGTTTTGGATGGACATCATTTTCCTTCCAGAACAAGATGTCACTATCTGAAACATATATTCTGCATTATATACAAAAATTAATGGAAATACAATTAGGCAACCATTGAATCAATATTTAAATAAAATTTTGAAATGTTTTTTCTTTTTAATTTCATTGCAGCTTTGTGGAATTCAGAACATGGTCTGTCCCATGGAATTCCTTTGGCAGATATATAAAATCATTCATAAGTCTTCAACTAGCTTAAGCTTTTAGCAAAGCTGGTCATTGGCATTGTAACATTCTAAAACCTAGTAGTTATTAGTTTGTCACTTCCATTGTAATAAAAAAAGTTAACTTTAAGACGGTAGTGTGGGCATGAGCATTGTCCACAGGTCTAACACCTAAAAACTTGAGCTTTCAAGAAAGTTGGTCCTTGAAACCTAAAGCTATAACAAATTCCTCTATCTAAAAGAAGACAAATAAGATAAAAGTAAGGCATACATTAGAAACTAAAAGTAAAACAAGCCAAAAAAATGTCTCGTGTGACACATATGCTACCACTGCAGACTGCAGAGTACTCAGGTGTGCATGATTACCTGGTTGAATACCAAAGATAGTCAGATTGATCCTTTGTTACATTTAAGTGCTCCCAAATTCCTTCTACAGTGAAACTGCTCTTACTCCATATTTTGAGTGGCTCTTTTGTAGTCATCCAAGACTTTGAGATGTAGTAAATGCCAGTGTGGTGCCTCAATTGCTGGGCTGGGAAAATATTAGAGATAGTTGGCAAATCAGAGTCTATCAGTTTGACCGAAGTTTGTGCTCTAACCTGTGCAAATTTAAAGAAGAAAGTTTCAGATGACCCCAAAATAGTATAGCATTCTTATAAGTCTAGCAATGAGCATTTTCATGTGCACACCTTGCAAAAAGAATAGACATCAAGGATTTCACTTGAACAGCCAAAATGCAAACCACCAAACAAAAAAGGTGATACCAATTTTTTTTTTAATCAAGGGTGCTATCAAATCACTATAATTCTTCAAGGAGGTCTCCCAAAAGATTCATCAGCTAAAAAAATAAAATTGTACATAATTCCACTGAATAAGAAGGGGAGGGGGGACTCAATCAACAAAAGAGGCAAATGAAGCAGTTTTTAGCTGAAAAATCTAGAATTTCTGTTTATTCAAGAAGTGTTTAATAGAAAGATCCATAACCTTTTAAAATAAATTTCCAAACATCTATTTATAATATTTAAATTATGAATATTGGAAAAATACAACTCTCACATCAACTAGAGATAAGGCTAACAAAGAGTATATGAGTGGAGAGTAATCTTCACTTTATAAACTGGTTTTATAAGATTAAGTTACACTCAAACCCACATCCTAAGATGGCGTCACAACTATCCTAGATCCCCTAAAAAGCGCCACACACCATTTATAATTTTATATAGGCACCAAGTGCAATAATGTTAGTGTATTGGAAGAAATCCAGTCCTACCTATTCCTAAATCATTAAAAAATGGTCACCTATTGTTTATCAATGCACTAAGCCCAAAAAGGTTAGGTTTTAAGGGGTGTATTGGAAAAAATCCAAATCGCACATTGACTAAAGATAAGACTAACAAAAAGTATATAAATAAGGAGTAATTCTCACCTTACAAGCCAATTTTGTAAGATTGAGTTAGGCTCAAATCCACTATAAGATTGAACCACAAGCTATTAGTTTCCTTATTAGTGGTTTATTAACATTGTTTTTCCATGCCAACATTTTTTCCTAGGTGTCACTCTCCTTCAATCTATTACTTTTAAAACAATCTTGTAAGTTGAGGACTATCAAAGTTTTATAAGCTCTATTTAAGCCATAGTGCAAGACAATGTGGGACTAAACTACAACCTGAGATTAGGACTCTAAAACCATACATGGATGATTAAGATTAAAAGTTATTTAGTTATCATATGACCACATAAAAAAGTCACATGACCTTATGATTTAATCTTAACCCTTTATGATTTAATCATATGGTTAAGATTCATTCCTCTCACTCACTTATAATAAAAACCCTCTCACTTGATATGCTCTAGAGAGAGAGATAATCAGACGAGACACAAGTTAGTGTAATGCAAATACTTTTGCAGCCCCAAAAAGATCCCCTGTACCAACCTTGGCAGTATTGAAAGCTGTGTTTCTGCAATCTGGCAATATACTCACAGACCATGGTGGTATAATGTATCTTTGACCGCGAAAGGTCACAGTTGCCTCTTTCCTTTCATCAATGTTTGCAAGAAATGCTGAGCATATGCTTGGAGATTCAAACAGAGACAAATTCAATCCTTCAGGGTGAACATTTGCTTGGTACACATGTGCCTGAAATTGATGAACATAAGTTATTCAGTAAAAAAAAAGACCCATGTAATTTTCTTTACAACAACCAAACCCTATCCCACAAGGTGGAATTGGCTTCATGTACTTGTGAAGATATATTGTAATAAACAAAGTAAATAAATATTCACAAGCATTATCACTAGGTAAAATACAGGCATTGTGACACTCTATTTCAGCACAAAAAAGATTGAATATAAATGTTGGGAATGATAGCAGTAATTAATGTAGTTTTGGAAATAATAGGAATAAGTTAGCATTGAGATTTCTAGGATCATAGGAAATAGCTCTGTTCCTAATAATTGTTCTTGCAAATATGAGATGCATTCCTTCTTTGATGTATATAGTCATAGATATGAGCTAGCCGAGTTTAAAACTGCAAATCACTAAATGATTTAACAGATTACAGTCCTTCTTCTGCTCACACTCTTTGGGTTTTCCCTTCTGGTCCAGCAGAACTCCAAAATTTCTCAGAACCCAAATACATGGAGTTTGTATGAACTCTCCACTCATTCCTAAAAAGGATAGGTCAGTCAAAATTTATGGATTTTTTCCACATTAACCTGGTTTCTAGCGTTTATAAGATAGATACATAAGTACTAGCTCCAGGTTGAGTGAAGCCCTTTCAGATGCCATTTCTGAGAATCAGAATGCTTTTATCACAAGTAGACAAGTTCTTGATTATGCTCTCATTGCTAAAACGGTAGTAGATGTTACTGGTGTCCAGGGAAAACAAGGTTTGCTTTTTGGTTAAATTCAAGAAGGCTTATGATCCTGTGAGTTGAAGTATTTTGAAGAAAATGCTTCGGATCAAGGTGGAGAAATTAAACTTTTGGGTGTTTGTGTTGAGGTCATTTAGAGAGATGACTGTCTCCAAAGGTATGACCCACAAGATGGTTAAATATTTAATTCAGGTTTGGAGGACACCTCAAACGACACTTCTAGGGTTGCATTCCAAGCCATGGCAATTTTAATAAGATCAGAAAACAAGAAACAACAATTTTATAGAAAGAAAAGCATATATAAGAAAGTCAAGGTGACTGCTAGAGATATAAAGGCATCTACGAGCCTTCTCCTAATAGCTTTTAGGAGAGTTGGTTATGAATATGGTATGAGAGCCTCTATGACCAGATGATCAGGAGTTCAACGTTTGCTACCCTTATAAGTTGAATTTCAGCAGAAGGTACATTGGCCCAGGCAATGTATAGACTTCAAGATCAAAGGGACTTGCATCAGAACACAGAAGAGATATAAATCATTAATGAGCCATTACCTAATAGCTTAAGCTTTAGGAGAGTAGGTCTGTGACTGTATCTACCAATAAAATATTAAATGTAATCAACCATAATGCTTGAAAATTTTATAAAATATCTAGTTCAGGCTAGGCTCAAACCTCCTGCTTTGGGCCCAATTTTATATATGTTGGTGAATCAGTGACCACCAGGGCAGGCTCACAAAGCTTCAAAGCAGCATGTAAATCTTTCAAGTGACCCCATTTTGGCTCATGCAGCAGACCTATAAAAACAAGGTCCATTGAGCATCATCAACCATGTCAACAGCTATAGCCTATGTGAATCCCATTAACTACCATCTAAACAACAGAAAATCTTATTGTTATTCTTCTACATACCATACTCATCGATTGGAGCATCATAATCATAACTTGTAATTTGCAAGGGTCCCCCTGCAGTGCGTCCAAAATTAGTTCCGCCAAAATACTGTATCATAAAAGGGCTTGTCAAGATGCAGGTTACATATACTCATCTACAAAAACTAAAATATACATAATATATAAAAATAAAATATGTGGCAATTAGAAGATGTCACCACACTGAGTTTTAAGTATATTTTTTCATTGAAAATAAATTACCATAAACAAACAAATGGAAGTACTAAAGAAATGACAAGGCATCCTATAGAATGCAAAAGAAAAATAAGAAATTTATAGCATCAATGACATAGAGATCAACAGTAATGTGTGGTATACATTCCTTCACTTTTCTGGTAATTTGAAAGGGGGTAATGGTTCTTGAATTAGATTTTGGGAAGAACAGTAATAGGGGTTTTTCAACAGGTCTTCCCTCACTTTATATTTTTCTACTTTTTTATCCGTCTCCTATACAAAATTTCAATATTTCAAAATACAAATGCCCCAAATCTTCATTTTCAAAAGCATCCAATGATAGAGAGGCAGTAGAGATGCTACCCTTCTAGTAGAAATCTTTTCATTTCTCTCCTTGATTGAAGAGAACAGTATGGACTCTATATGCCATTGGTGGATATTTTAGAATCCTTCTTTCCCTTTCTAACCCACCATGGGTAATTAATACAAGCACCTCTAATCACATTCTTAATAACCAAATATCTTTTCTAATACATGACAAGTTCCACATCTATTCATGATTACCTTATCAGCTTAGAAAATGCTTCTAAACAATAGCTAATAAAGTTATAAAGGAATACAGCAAAGTGATCAAACTACTTCCATTGATCCATCATGTGAAGATCTTTTTACTCAACAGTGTTGTATATTACCTCTCCACAGCATTCCCTCCGGTGAGTCCTATATTTGTTTCTACATATATTTTTCCTGTTCAAATTTTAATATGCTTTTATTCTGCATGTTCAGTATCAAGACAGAAGATCTTTTATGTTTGTAAAATAGTAATGTACATTGACATCTTACAATGATTTTCAATTTGATATTTAAAAAGAAAAGCAATTTTATTAAAAAAAGCACGACAATAGTAAATCCGAAGCATTAGACATACAGAAAAAAAATGTGGCAAAAGAACAGCAATATAATAAAGCCCTTCAATACAAACATTGGACAAGAATCTTCCATGAGATAACCATTAGCTTAGAATTGAGAAGAAGCCAAAAGTGAACTATGAGTCCAAAACTCCAAATAAAAAATAAATCTTCCACTATCATACCATGTAATAATTTTGAAAGATTCCTCCCCGTTGGTAAAAACGTGCAACTGCAAAAGCAAGGTCTTCAACAGGTCTATGAGGCAATCTTTCACCCCATTGTGTATACCTTCAAAAGTCAATCAGAAGTAATCAAAACATTTATCACCACTGCCAAATACAGAATCAGATCTCAACCCTATTTCTTTTCCCTTCTATTTTGTATCAACAGTTCAACACGCATAGGTGTATACGTATGCACATGCACACACACAGAGAAGCACAAAACTCAAATACATATGAACAGTTTATTATTATTGACTCCTAAACCTGTCTTTGTATTGTCATTAACTATATAATCATACATATACCCTTTAGCTCATTATTTTGGGTGCACCTACAAGTAAATACATTCCTACTATAATGATACTTCCCCAACCCACATAAATAATTTTCTAAATTACTGAACAAGCCAGCAGAACATTTATAAAAAGCAAAGTAGGCAATAGAAGAATGCATCACAGGGAAGTCACCCCCTTAAAATGCGGAAGTAGCCACAGAAGCAAAGAAAGCAGACAATGTAGTTCAAATTCGAAGTAAACCATGGGACTATTAAAAATAAGTATGCAATCAGATGATATATATAACTAGAATCCCTTCCCACCCCCAAGCAACATAGGCATATATAATGAACATGCCTACATAGATACAGAGTACAGAGAACCACAAAGACAACAAGTAGCTACTGGTGACAAGAGACAACAACGCCAAGAGTTGCCACCAATTGCAAAAGGCCACATGTTGTTGTGGGCAATGTCATAGAACTCCAATACGGTAAAGAGCCAATAGATATGATAGAAGATAGGGTTTCAGAGAGGGAGAATAGCAGCTTCTATGGAAGCTACTGGTGGCCTCTATACTATTGCGCCTTGCTTTGTCACTATAGCAGCTACTATTGCTCATATTAAAAGGTAATCCCTTGAAGGATGTGTTTGTTCATGTTGAAAATAGAACATAAAAGACAGAGTATAAGAGGAAGCACAAATATAACAAGTTGAAATGAGAAAATCTGCAAATTTATGCATACAAAAGGGAGCAAAAACTGATATGACACATTTGAGTTAGGAACTCAGTTTGGAACACATTGAAAGAGTTATAACAAGTGCTTAAATACTAAAATTAATTGATCCCTAAGTAAAGCAAACGGAAAATTATCACTAAACTAACAAGCAAGTATCATTTGCCTAGATAGCTTTTTTTTTTTTGACATAAGTAACCTTTAACCAAACTTATAATAAAACAGAAAATTACAGAGACTTTAAAATATTTTATTTTGACAGTTGGAAAAATCTCAACTGCCAACACTTCATACCATCCATCCCAGTTCTCTGTCCACATAGTTGGTTTGTTACGAGAGTTTGGTTTAAATCCATCACAGTAGTATGCATTGCATGTATCAATCTGTGTACAATAATATTGATTTATTAATAACTTGAATTGTTGGTTATTTGAAACAAAATATTTTAACTACATTTCCCCATGTTATTATTTCAAAATCTACAAGAGATAACTGTACACATTTTTATTTTAGAAGTATAGCCAAAATGCCAATAATAGTTCTTTACAATAGTGGAAAGGGATATAATTTACGATATCATATGGAGCATCCTGTTGTCTACACATGACCCATGGGACCCCAGCACCAAGACTTAGAGCCATCCTAGCTGCCCATTTAACATACTCTTTACCTCCTCTGCCATAGGAGCTCTCAATGTTCCCATATTCATTCTCAATCTGATAAAATCCAGTCACATGCTTAGTTAAACATTGCATTCTACAAAGGGAAGTATCAAATATAACAGTTGCATGTGCTAATTCCAGGATGAAAGAATAAAGCGTATTCAATAATTATCTAACACAAAATAGTTAAGTTTGCTGATAAGCTGGAGAACTAAGTAATTTGAAAATTGGATTTTATAATCATAATACATCAATACAAAATGAATCATATAACAGGAATCAACAACTAAAATCTCACAATTTCTATTAATATATTGAATATGTGGCAACTACTACCTGTGACCTACCTTTACCAACATTCAGTAGTATGACACATTATATGACATCTTCTATTTAGATGATTCCAATAGAAACCGAAGAAATTAGAAGAGAAAAATCCAGAGAAAGTGTTATATCCAGTTATCCATAGTCTGATAAAAACAGTTCACTCCGACTGAATACCAAAAATAAAACTTACCAAAGCAAAGAAGCACAAGTGCAATAAGGTAAAACAATAATATAAAAACAGCTGTAATTTCATTGCCAATTTTGGATACCCTAGCAGGACTATGAATATGCTTCAAATTATGAAAAATCAAATCAAATAATGCATATAAAGCCTAAAATCCACACTCTTCCAACCTGCAACAAAATTATAGGACCACCTTGCCAAGAAAACAGCATTTCATCTCTCATCAGATTCACCACCTTGGAGACAAACCGCTTCATCTCCTCCTAGGTTAAAAAAGAAAGTTGATCAAAATCATGTCAAGACAATCCTCTCCAAGTCCAATAACATAAGTTAATATAAATTTTGGATGCTAAAGCACATTATCATTTATTCTATGATTTTAAGACTTCTCAAAAATCCCACCCCTACCCTCAAACATTGAGTTGAATTATATGATATAAAAAAAATTAAAAAAAACACACAAAAGAGAGGAAATTTGGCACAATTTACTGCATGAAGTAATGAGTGCAACCAAGAAGAAACAGTTGTCATGTCAATTTTAGTCCAAAACTGAGAACACTGACTAAATAGAATAATCACAAATACAAAAGGAGAGCAGAAACAAATGGTATAGATCTGTTTACAAAACAAATATAAAAGACTAATGCCAACCAACAAAGCATTCCACCTTGAAAGGTGCATTGTCTGTTCGAAATTCAATACCAGGGATATCACGCAACCACACTGGGAAACCCCTGCAAACATAGCTCATAAATCAACGAACAAGTTGTCAAATATTTATCTACTTTTTAGAAGAAAAATAAGCATTACTAAAAAGCATAAATCAAATCAGGGGTGAGGATAATATACCCTTGAGACCAAAAAAACTGGACAACCAAAACACAAACAAAACAAAAGAAGTGGATGAAACCCCATGCATATTTTGCCAACTATACACAGGCTTCAACAGATAACAAATGCATAGCATCAAGACAGTGGTGCGGTGAAACAGGCAATGTCCAGACAGAGAAATAGGATAGATCAGCAAGTATTGATCACAAACAAAAACTTATGTTTTCATCAAAATACCAATAATATTGACAACAATGCACAAAGTATGTGCTTATCTCTTTTTGTGCAAAGCGGAAATTATTCTGATTTTGGATTTTCTCTTTCAAAAGAGTCTTCTTTTTAGAATAGAATAAATTTAATTTTTTAACATGAACAAAAAACTTTAAACTGATTCACAATTGAAATAAATTAAAAACAAACCATTAGGAAACAGGGGTAAAAGGCATAACTTTAAAACTAAAAACATGTGTGAATCCTTCACAATATTTAAGGTACAACTTGCACAATTCATTGTTGCTAATGTGATGACATAGTTGTTTGGTTTTGATCCATATATCCATTTTAGTTTTTCTTCCACCAAGTTGGAAATTTTGTGTATTGTATTTTAACACTACTTTCCAACAAAGATAAAATTTTACTCACATCAAAGGTTAATGATTAAATGAAAACTATTACTCACTCCAACACTGAAATAATGACTTTCAACTACATATGAATGTAAAAATCCTAGAACATTGCATAAAATAATCCATGTTAACTACACAAGTAAGGATTTTCTCGTTGAGAAGTGTAATTAATCAGCTATCATCATGTAATCTCTTCAAATTGTTTATCTAATTGGAAATATCGAACAGCGATAATAGGAGTAGAGGTTAAGACCCACCCAAAGTTCCACTCAGCACATGCATAAGGGCCTATACGGAGAAAGAAATATAGTCCATTGGATGCAGCAAGCTTCACAAACTTCACAAGATCATATCTCCCTTCAAAATTATACTGCACAAAGGAAATTAATATTTCAGTATCAATAAACAAATATTCAATATAAAGTAGAAGAAACAAGACAAGGCTACCCCTCGGATTCTGTAGAAATACAATTCTGTACCTGTCCTTTCTCTGGCTCGTGCCCGTTCCAGAAAACGTAAGTTTCAATCACATCCGCCCCACCTTCCTTGCTCTTTGCAATCAAATCAGGCCACATCTAAAATTACATCAAATGCATTAATAGGACACAGTAATAAATCAAATTTCATAAAGTTAGCTTCACAGATTTTAGCACCACACTTCCATATCTTATTTTACAATTATGCACTGCCTCAAATTTGGCAAAAAGGTTCAATGAGACTGATAACGAGACTCGTGGTTAATCTGTTGACTTTGTTTCAGGTGATTTTTCAATTTTCTACTCATACAAAGAAGAAATTCAGCTTATTATGCCATAGCGCAAAATCTCTGATGCGCATGTTTGGTTACATAGAAAATGATGCATATACATAGGATTCTGCGCTTTTAAACTTTTGAGAACAAGATTCACGGAGCACCGAAACAAAAGCATGAAAACAGAGCAAACAACTTAACTCAACGGAAAAGAGAAAAAAGATAAACAATTATATATATATACACAGACACATACATATAGAGAGAGAGAGAATTGGACGATTCAGTTTAATTGCGGCTGTATGTTACTGTTATGTTAGTTTCTTAGTTCATCCATTACGACGAGTTAAACCGATTTGAGGAAAGACCTCGGGAGTGGCGCGTGGATAGTGGATTCCGGCGGAGATGAGGATGCGGCGGTTGGCGCCGAGGATGAGAGCTCGGTGATCGTAAGTAACATTGAACGGTTCGAAATACTTGGCCTCCGTCACTCTTACTCCATATTCAATTGCTACGATGCAAACGCAAACGCTTAACACTGCCACTATCATCTCGTTCCTGTTTGATCCAATTCCGAATCCTGGTTTGGAATTGGAGTAATCGGAATTCCGCAACATCTTCTTCAACCCTGCGTGCGTGCCTAGTTCGTAACGTAACAGCAACCACCCTTGAAAAAAGACCAGAAATGTCCCTCTATTCTTATCCATTATTTTTGTTTAGCATCTATCTTGAATAATATTAATTGATATAATATTATTTCTATTTGTAGGTGGATTTTTTTTTTATATTTTAAGAGAATTTGTTGAATGCTTTTGTTTTTAACAATCTTACTTTTTTTTTTGTCATAATCACAGATTTGGTGAAATACAAATGATTGACCTTATTTAATTTTCTCAATTAATTAAGGTAACTTAAATATCAATTAAATTATGTTACTTTTTTTATATAAAGTACATATAAAATTATAGTCTTATTTCAATTAAATTTTAATAAAATATAATTATGATATTATAGTTTATTACAATTCATATTAAGAAACTAATAATTTGATTTTATATTTAGTTGATAGTTACATATTTTAAACAACATATTAATTCGTAATTAATAGATATAATTTGGTTATGATAGTTATAGAAAATAATAAATAATATGTAATTATTATTTATTAAATTATTATGAAATATAAAGGTGTATATACATATAATGACAAATTACGAATTTCACATTATTGTATTGTATTGCTGATAGATATTTTAGGTAAAATTATGTCAAATACTGATGCCAAATGATAAGACCATTGGTGGAGGCGATCACACATTCAACAACATTCCATGATAATTAAATAATTATTTTAGGTTAAATAATATATAATTTAATTGTAACATATAATAATAGTATATCATAACATTTATTTAAGAAAATACTTCTTCTAGAAGTAAGAATTTCTCTATTAACAAATACTATCAAAGTGACTCTTTTTCTCTATTTTAAAAAAGTGCAATTAATTAGTATAAAAAAAATATATTAAATCATTATTTTGGGTTCGACAGTATAGAATTTTATATAAAAATATAAAATTAGCATTAATTATAAATTTAATATCAATTAAAACATATAATTATCAATTTTTGTAAATAATTTCAATAAAGTTTGATTTTATATTTAAAAATGAAAAATATAGTTAGAATTCATAAAGAATATGTAAAATGACAAATTAAGGTAACAAAAAAAGTTATAATTCAAACATGCATTTGTCATTTACAATTCCAAATAAATAAAAAAATTGATTAAATTTCGGTTTGCTATATCAGTAAATTTTCTATCTTAACTAAAGGAGTGTGTATTAGAAGAAATCACACTTACCTCTTTCTGTGACAATCTAAAACAGAGGTGCGACTATTGCGTGTATATGATGAAGAAGTGGTCATCACGGTTTTTTGAAAAAGATGGTTGAATTGGGTGCAACCAATTCGCGTATATGATGGAGGTGTGGCCATTGGTTTTCGGTTCAATAGAGAATGATGACTATTAAACAATAAAAAGGAAGAGTTATCGTAAGTAGAGAAGAATGATGACTATGGAACTTCATAATCCAAATATTTAAGATTTGTAAATATGAAAATATAGGATGTGTGGTTATAGAGATATATATTAAAATAAGAAAACCATTATAGAATGATACATAAATAAAAAAGACGGTATATAATGACATGTAAACATTTTTGCTAACATAGTAATATTTTAGAGACATTTTAAACTGACCTATCAATGTAATACAAAATAGTTTAGCTTTTATATTATAAATAGATATATATTAGGCAAATTTGGTAATATTTTTATTTTAAACTACATCTTTTACGGGTATATATATATAAAATAGGAAACTAAAAAAGAAAATTATAAATATACACTATCAGCAATGCATAAGACCAAATACGTTAGCAAAATAGTTACATCAAAACGAGCCACTTGTTTACGTCTCTAGCAAAAGACCGTAATAACCCTGGTAGCTTGTTTAATGCTTCAATAAGACAAAAACTACTGCTGAATATTGTCATATATGAGGACAACCCTCATGACACTTGACACATTTAGGTGCAGAACTTAAAACAAGAAAACTCACCATCTTATGGCTATTTACCTCACCAAAACAGTACATTCACATGAAAAACAAGGTGCAGAATTTAATATGTAAAAACTTGTCATTTTGAGGCTATCTACTTCAAGTGGATTGTGTAACTATAGATGTTTCTTGTCCCAAAATATTAATGCTTCCTTGCTATTCCTTACAATTTCAGAATGAATTCTAAGAGATGTTTCACCAGCCCATAAAACATTCAAGTTCTAATCAATCCTGCTCTCTTCCTTCTATTTAAACTATACAGTAAATATATATCAAAAAAGTCATCAATGCAAGTCATTTTGAATTGCTGAACTTAGGCAATGGCTCTACAAGCATTAACAAAATCTTGTGCACATATGAATCCAAGGGAAAATAATGGCATTCAAAGCAAAATCAAACAATACAACTGACTCAAAAGAACTTGACCCATCAAATAATACTCTCCCTCAATTCTGACTACAAATCCTGTGTCTCTGGAACTTGGCAACAACACTGCAAACTTAAAATAACCCTCTGACTCAATAGAAATCACAAACTTTTTTGTTTCTGTACTAAAAAACATGCAGGAAAGATTTGCCAAAACAGCAGAGTTTATAATTGCCAAACGCTGTTTCATTTCACGCACCAACAGAATTTGAATTTATTTCTAATTTAATTAATAGCCACTAATCTAATTTGTCAGTTCAGAAAATAACTTTATAGGGTAATGTAACTAAACATTTAATTACTTAAGCACCGATCAATGCATCTCAGAAAATAACTCTGTAGGCTAATTTAACCAAACATTGAATTAGTCAAGCACCAATCTATACATCTCAGAAAATAACTCTGCCACAATGTGTTTACTTAATACTTATCCAACCCTTCTGTATAATTTTTTTTTTCTTTCACCCAAAGAAATCATGATACACACAAGGAGAACTTCAAGCCAAAGTTGACTATGTTAACTGGCACAACACTCCTTACACAATTGGTCTTTACGGACAGTTCTATAGTCCAATTTATACAGTTATTTAGTCCATTTTATACTCAATTGCTGAATTTTTTAACTGAAGATGAAATTGGACAAAAGCAATTCATTTTGCAACTGTATAGCTCAATTGTGTGCAAGCTTAATTGCAACAATAACATGACATGTTCTTATTAACTGGCATAGTAATATCATGTGAGGAAGGGGGAATTAAAGCAAAAACAAAAAATATTCAAACTGAACATGAAAGAATACATAAGTAAAAAATTTGTGGTCTTGACGAAGTATGATTAGACAGTGACACTGCGGAGCACAACAGTCTCAACAGTGAGTCCAGGGCCAAAACCAAATAGCACACCCCATTCAAGGCCTTCACCAGTTGTGCCGAGTCCATTTTCTATCGACTTCTTCCTCATTTGATCCAAGATGAATAGAACACATGCACTTGACATGTTACCATACTCACTCAGCACATGTCTAGTAGCTTCCATTTTTTCAGGCTTCAAGCCTAACTTAGCCTCAACCTGGTCTAAAATTGCAGGGCCACCAGGGTGTGCAATCCAAAAGATAGAGTTGTAATCAGAGATTCCCAAGGGTTGGAAGGCTTCAACTAAGGCCTTCTCGATGTTCTTAGAGATGAGTCCAGGAACATCCTTGAGGAGATGGAATGTGAGTCCAACTTCACGAAGGTGACCATCAATAGCCCCTTCACTATCCGGAAGGATTGTTTGTGCAGTCCACACAAGCTCAAAGAAAGGCTTTTCAACTGGCAAAGGGTCTGATCCAACAATGACTGCAGCAGCACCATCTCCAAACAGGGCTTGCCCCACAAGGCTATCAAGATGGGTGTCACTTGGGCCACGGAATGTGACTGCAGTGATCTCGGAGCAAACCACAAGCACACGAGCACCCTTGTTGTTTTCAGCCAAGTCTTTGGCCAAACGAAGGACCGTGCCACCGGCAAAGCAACCTTGTTGGTACATCATGTAACGTTTCACGGAGGGACGAAGGCCTAGGAGTTTAGTGAGCTGATAGTCAGCACCAGGCATGTCGACACCACTGGTGGTGCAAAAGATGAGATGAGTGATCTTTGACTTGGGTTGACCCCATTCCTTGATTGCCTTAGTTGCAGCCTCTTTTCCCAACTTTGGTACCTCCACAACCACCATGTCTTGCCTTGCATCCAATGAAGGTGCCATGTATTCACACACACTCGGATTCTCCTTCAGGATCTCTTCATTCAAGTACATGTACCGCTTCTTGATCATTGACTTATCACCTGAAATTAATAAAAAATAATATTATTAATCACTACTTTAGATGTAGTCTAAAATAAAGATATAGATATAATGAAATGATATGTGGGACAATGAGATAAATGATGATCTTACACATTCGCTTAAACTTTTCTTTGAGCTCAGTCTTGTGCTCACTGTTTGTGATGCGGAAATAATAATCAGGATATGTACTCTGATCGACACAGTTGGGAGGAGTGGCGGTGCCAATAGCCATGACAGTGGCAGGGCCTTCTGCACGTTGTGCCTTTCGGATATCTTCAACACTCACCATCTTAATTCTCTCAACAATCTAAGCTTGCACCAAAGAATTAATGAAACTAAAGTAGTAGCTTAGAAAGAAAAGAATATGTGATGGGAATGGATGATGCAAATTGGTTTGGAAGAGTGGATATATATATAGTGTTGGATTGAAAAGGGTAGGTAGGTAGATGCAGTGCATGCGTTTTCTGAAGAATAGCTGCGCTCACCGCATGTCTAAGTAGACCGTTGACTTCCCCGTTATACCAACCCATTATTTTAATTTCATTTTTCTAATGACTCAGAGTTCGATTTTTATTTGGAAACCATCTTTATTCAAACTTTAATTATGTCGAGTCAAATTAATCTAAGATAATTAAGACAAAATAAAAAAAAAAATACAGGTTTTTTTTTCTTTCTTTTTTCTCCTCTTGTCTTTACAATTGCTTTTCATAATTTTGTTTACTAAGCAAGACTCGTTTCATAAAAACACAGCTTTGAGAGTTTCATGTCATGTACGTGGGAAAAAAATTGTTACCATGGATTTATGTTTTATTACTGAGTTTCAAAGATTAGTAGTCTTCTTTATCGTATTGAAAGATATCCCGAGAAATGAAAAAAAAAATAATAATAATAATAATAATTTCTTTTAGAAAAGGAAGAAATTTAAAAAAATGTTTTAAAAGATGCGGTTTGGTGGTGTTATGCGCAGCCCTTGTGGGCTTGTTGTTGATGTTACGTTCTGATGCATGTGGACTGTTCTTCCACCCAAGACAGTTAGCTCAAAAATGATGAATAGGATTCATAATTTAAAGTGTGTTTAGAATATCATTTTTTTTGTCACAGAAAATAAAAATGTAAAATATTATCTGATACTTCACGTTCAAAAAAGAAAAAAAAAAGGGTATTTTTGGGAATCATGTATATAGTTGACTTTTATTATAACTAATTACTTTTAGCTTTTTTATTTTTACAGTGTAGGATCATTGGTTTTCTTATTCTTTTTCTTTTATTAGAAGGTGAATTGCATTCAAGTATATCTTAAAAGAAAGAAGAAATAAAACAGGGCCAATTTTGACATGGCCAGCAAATAGTTCTTTTAATCTTAAAGTTGCTTTATCCAAATTATTTTCAACTTTTGATCTTGGTTATTTGTTTTAAGCTTGTGTTTTTTGGAATACATATAATAGTAGTATTGCCACCATATCTTCACTTTGAGATGCATGCAAGGCATTCAGAAGCTCGAATATGATTATATGACAATAGTAGCCTAGTAGGTCAGTAGTCTCCTCTACTTACTCTATTAAATGGCAAATTTTTTACCGATGCTTTTCATACACTTTAGACATGACCAAAAATGCCGCTAGATCTATTGTGGATTGGTTAATATGTAGATCATAAATTATAATGGGTTGGTTGAAAAAAGTTTAGATTCACTTTAATCTTTTAAATTGATGTCTAAGTCTGAACTTCTTTAAATTATAGACTTTTCGAGTTAACTCATTTTATTTTATCTTTTTTATTTATATTTTTCTCTAAAATTCAAAATTGATAACTATTGTAATAATTATTTTTATTAATTTGATAGGTTTTGAGAATAACAAAAAATTATACATTCTTACTAATCCTTCATTATTTTATATATATATATATGAAAGATTAGTAAGAGTGTATAATTTTTTTCTAATCTTATTTTAATATATATATATATATATATATATATATATATATAAAAAAAAAAATAA